TCGCTGGATGCTGAGAGGGAGAGTGGACCATACGGTGGGATCGGTATTTTCAATTATCGGAGAATTCGGTGTAATTTCATCCATTCAGCGTGGCGGCCTCTGACTGAGAGAGAAATGGGGGTCTGAGAGCAATGACCGCTACCACCCCGCTGTTCCTCGACAACGCTGAAGCACACCCCCCCAACGGCTGCCTCCCCGTCACCTTCAGCTCACTATTGACAATGAAAAACTGAGAGTTTGATTTTTCACGTTCATGTTGAGGCTTTTTGGAGATTAATGTTTAGGGCATGGAAATGCAGAAAAGACGGATGAGGACACAGAAGCACAAGCATCATACACTAAAACATAACATTGCTAATGATTTCAAGTAAAATTCAGTGTTGTTTATTGGCATGACATACTCATATGTTGTTCTGACAGGGGCCTTAGATACAGAGTAAACCTATAAGTCCATGTCACTTTGGTGAGTTGTTTATGCTAATCTGCTACTAAGTAGCCTAAGACTCCAAAAGCCAAAAACCACTGCTGATTCTCACATTTATGTAATACAGGGTTTCATGAAAGTTCAATCAGACAATACAGATCTGACTAATAAGTTGAACATGTGATAATGCTAACTGGTATTATTAGCTTTTATTCACTGCTAGCCATGCTAACACTGCTTTCATTTCAAACTTTCAACTTTCATTTTCATAAAAACAGCAATACGCATTGATCTCGCTTTTCTCCTTTTCACTAAGATGAAAAGTTCAGTTCAGTTCAGTTCTTCTCGTCCGCGCCGTTCCTTCCCTTCCATTCGGTTCTTTTCATTCAGTTCTGTTCTTTCTCTTCCATTGGCTTTGTCCCATTCTTTCCGTTCCTTTCTGTGCTTTCCATTCTGTTTGCTATATTCTGTTCCTTTTTTTGGTCCTGATCTGTTTTTTTTTTCAGGCCAAAGGAACAGAACTGGAAAAAAGTTCCTTCAGAAAAAAATCTGTTTTTGTTCCCGCCATTTTGTTCTTTGCGTTCTGTTCTGCTCTTTTCATTCCGTTCACTGTATCCCATTCTTTTGCCTTCTGCTAGCGACCTTATGTTCTCTATGTTCCATTTTTTTTAGTCCTTTTTTCGTTGTTCCATGCTGTTCTTTCTATTCAGTTTTCCAAGTTGGTTCCATTCTGTTCTCTTCATTACATTCTCCTCTATTCTTTCCGTTCAATTCACTATGTTTCATTCTTTTACATTCATTAAGTTCTGTTCTTTTTGTAACATTCTTTCAATTCCGTTCCTTTCTTTTTTGTTACTTGCTGTTTTGTTCTGTTCACTACAGTCCATTTCTGTTCTTTCTGATCCATTTTCTGAGTTGGACATGGTTCTGTTCTTTCCGTTACATTCACTATGTCCTGTTCTTTTTGTTATTTCATTTTGTTCTGTTCTTTTTGATGTTTTTTTTTTTTTGTCGGTTTCTTTACATTCTATTTTTACGTTTCTATTTCCATTCTTTTGCTTCGGTTCTGTCTTTTGGTTTCATCTGGGTTTTTTTTTTTTTCCATCCCCTTCTTTTGGTTCTGGTCCATTCTGTTCTTTTAGTTCTGTACTCTGTCATTTAGTGAAGACTAAAGCAGTGCAGTTTTGAAATGTTTCTATTAATGACTAGCTTGGGCTAGTTTCCCGGGCATAAAGATGGAAATACATTATTCTCTCTATCTCTGCTTGATTTTGTCTATCGCTCTCTTTCTCCCTGAGTGTTACTTTGTTCACTGAGGACACTGAGAGACCATTAGCTACGCAGCACATAGCCAAACGTGGAAGGTTAAAACACACAATTGATTTACATGGACTAAAAATGTTCAACCTTCTGTATTCATATCAAAGGTACCTCAGGACCAGGAGAAACCTTCCAACATTGCAAATGCCCAAATTATAGTCTCTTGCACTCTGTCCCTATTTAAGGTAATAACACCAGGATAATTTTTGCTCTGTTCTTCCATTTAATGCCACTTTCTGCAGAAGGGGGTTGGTGAGACGGAAAGTATGAAAAGAGTAATGGGGGGGTCGGATAAATGCTAGGTGGATGAAGAAGGGGAAATTGACAAATGCCCTTGGTGCAATACAATAAAAACATCCTGTCATTTGCAGTGTATCCCCTCTGCTCTTCCTGAAATCAGACATGTTCGTGCACTCTCTCTCTCTCTCTCTCTCTCTCTCTCGTTATCTTTTTCTTCTCTCTTGATCCTTTTCTCACTTGTCCTTCCAGCACAAAAACACAATTAATACCTGCAGCTCCGTCCTACTGATAACAACAATCACTCTTTCCTATACAAGACTCTTTCATATAATAACTCCATAAAAGATCGACAAAAAACCCAAAGCACCATTGCTTATTACCCAGAAGCACTTCAATTCACAAATACAGCACTTTATATATAATTATGGAGGGAAGAATATGATTTTTTTTTTTTTTTTACTTTTTCCATTGCTTCTTTGAATTGCTTACACAACAATACCAAGCATGTTGGAACGTTAAAATGAAAAGACTTTGTTGGGCCTGAATATTACAACTAAAAGGATATGAAGGCTGCTCAGAGGATACAAAAGTACAAAAGTATACGGGTTGAGAGAGCAGGTTCAATTGACTCACCATCAGTGTGTAAAGCCAATGACCAATCACTGATCACCATTGTTCCTGACTATCAATTACTGATCACCATTGCTCCCAAAGACCATTCACTTGACAATATTCTTTCCAAAAACCGATCATTGGTTCATCACCACTGTTACCCACAACCAATAATTGATCACAACTGTTCTCAACAACCACTCAATGTTCATCATTGTTCCCAACAACCACTCACTGATCACCACTGTTCCCAACAACCACTCACTGATCACCACTGTTCCCAACAACCACTCACTGATCACCACTGTTCCCAACAACCACTCACTGATCACCACTGTTCCCAACAACCACTCACTGATCACCACTTTTCCCAACAACAGCTCACTTCTCACCACTGTTCCCAACAACCACTCACTGATCACCACTGTTCCCAACAACCACTCACT